TCACTTGGCATTCACTTTGTGTGTGTCATTTACACATTTCTTTTTACAGTGACAACACAAATGATACTTGAAAGCATAATTTTGTTGGGATGTTATTGTCGTAGATGTTCATGTCCAATTCTAGTGCTAGAAAATTTATAATTCGATCAAATTTTGTATACAGGACCATCTGACATAGATAATATATACTTTATTTAGCTTTGTCCGTTAAAAATAGATATTCATGTGTTTAAGAGAAACAGTGTTCATACTCTAGTAAATGTATTAATGCTTTAGTACTCAAAGTCATACTCTGCTGAAAAATGTCACGAGTACTCATGGGTACTCACATATTTTTTTACTCATTGAGTACTCATGATGAGTAACGAGTATTGTGGGTACGGCTTTGAGTACTTACGCTTGGGTATTGTTAAGTGCTCATATAACTTTTAGCAAAATACTCATAAGTATTGTTCATCTGTTTTTTTCACATAGAAGAGTGGATCTCAGGCAGAGGGGTATATTAAACCAGAATATAGATAGATAGACACAATAAAAAATATCCATGTTTACAAATGAATTTAATATTCAAGAATTATCTTTAACTTTTTGTACGCCTCGAAATAACATCATTCTTAGATCTAAAATAACTTCTATTCGATATAAAAAATCTGGAATAGTCTCTAATACTTAAAGGATATTTTGAGTATTTGGTATTAGATGAAAAACATAGATGACTGAAAATGTTAATTATAGACATGTGTTTTAATTTGTAGTTCGTGAATTACGTTATTCAACGATTGATTTTCAAGTTATTATTAAATCGAACTACAAGCCTGCAATTATGGGTGAAAAAATTGAGATTCGTATTCCAACACCTAAAAATACATGTCGAGTTCAATTAGTTTGCTTGAAAGGTAAAGCAAAGCATAAATCATCTGATAATGCCATTATATGGAAACTGAAACATATGATGGGTATGAAAGAGTATCAACTTGATGCTTCGATCGAACTGACATCCGCGTCCACATCATTATCGTCTATAACTGATAGAACTTATACAACAAAATGGACCCGTCAACCGATATCAATGTCTTTTCAAGTCCCATTTACGGCAAGTGGTTTCAAAGTGGGTTATTTAAAGATATTTGAACATAAGCTAAATTAT